TTCCCCAGCTAGTTATTAACCTAAATACACACTGCATTGACCGGACGGTTCGAGTTATCCCGTCGGTTGGCAACCCTCCAAGCCACGACTTTTAGCGCAGCATGGTAACTTCAAACGCGTCAAATTGTTTATAATGAGAAAATTGTACTGAGCCTTTGACCACACCCTCTATCCCCATTCCGGCGACCTAGTCACTGTCTGAGCCGGGCAGTTGACTCGTGATGGGAATGGGCGCAGTTGCTGACATATCTAATGCCCTCGTCTGCACATGCCGCAAACACGACCAGCCCCAGAAAGTACAAGCACTAGTATTTCACACAGAGGGGATGAACAGTTTAAAGTTCACATATGTATGTGACAGCGCCAGAGGTTTCCGTGACAGGGAGTAATTGCAAGCTAACTCTCAGACCAGTCAGCCATTTCACCCGCGCAAGAAGTCCGGGTTTCATCTTCAGTTGGCAGCCTTCCAAGCCACGTCACTTAGCACACCATGAGAGCTTCAAGCTCGGATCCTACATGCACAAGAGCAGTCACGTGGAGAGGTAGCCAAGGATCCTATTTTCGTCTCAGGTGAAATACGTTGGTTGCAAACGTGTGTTGTGTGCCTTTGGGCTTGTGTGGTGTAGGCGATGGTCAACAGAAAAGCGGTGGTGTGATATAGCCGACCGCAGTTTTTCATGAAGACACATATGGCCTAATAGGCCTTATAAAGGATGTGCGTTAGCAGTATGAATGATGGAGACGGGTGAAGAATGTATGACGAGGCTCCAGGCACTGGTACACTGGTCATAACGCGATGGACTTATCGCAGTAGCTTAAATTAATAGAGAAGAGATTAGCCGCTGCGGTCTTCAGGCCTGGTTCCGTAAGGTAAGGCAAGAAGTGGGACGCCAGGTTAGAGGAGTATTCTTCTCTTCGATTGACCCAATTGGGAAAAATTCGCGGTCTTGGTGGGATCCAACACATAAAACAAGGAAGGCTTTTGCGCAGCCCCCGAGGCCGCGCATTTTTCACAATTGGATCAATCAAATTATTGAAATCTACCAAACCCCTAACATATTTTATTTTGTACAGACGTAGTGAAGAATAGGTTGGAGAAAGTTGGTAGCTGGAAGAGTGCGTCAGGAACCCCGACATATTGTAGCCACACCCGTCTCAACTTTTCACAATATCCCCGCAAATGTGTACAACCAACAGGCCTATTAGGCCACATGCGCCTCCATGAAAACCTGCAATAGCTTGCCGTCGAAGAGATGGGCAAATCAAGACTTGGCTCGACACCGTTCATCAAGACAGGAAAGTGGTTCTTGAACCTTCGGTGTTCGGTCTCCGTTGCTGGAGAAGTGAATGCATGGAGCTTTCCAAATCCGCGGCCGCTAATCGTCACGCATGGCGGGGGTACCGTCCGTGACCTCATTGAGGCCGGCTGGATAAAGCATGATCACAGCCGTATCAAATACAACGAAGTACTACTCTACACCGTTGTACGCCTCCTCACCAGCACCTACATCACACGTGGTCACGTCACCATCAAATCACATGTGACACTTCAACCGTCGTTTTCGACTATGTCCACCGCGAGCTTCGGCAAGCTGAACGCAGACGCGG